GCACAAAGTTGGCCTTTATGGAAGAGTGGCAAGAAGAAAGCCATTGTTAACAGAAAACCATAAGAAGTCCAGTTTGCAGTTTGCCACAAGCCATGTGGGGGACACAGCAAACATGTGGAAGAAGGTGCTCTGGTCAGATGAGACTTTGTGGCCAAAATGCAAAACGCTATGTGTGGCGGAAAACTAACACTACACATCATTCTGAACACACCATCCCCAGTGTCAAATATGGTGGTGGCAGCATCATGCTCTGGGGGTGCTTCTCTTCAGCAGGGACAGGGAAGCTGGTCAGAGTTGATGGTAAGATGGATGGAGCCAAATACAGGGCAATCTTGGAAGAAAACCTCTTGGAGTCTGCAAAAGACTTGGGACTGGGGCGGAGGTTCACCTTCCAGCGGGTGACGACCCTAAACATAAAGCCAGGACAACAATGGGATGGTTTAAAACAAAACATATCCATGTGTTAGAATGGCCCAGTCAAAGTCCAGATCTAAATCCATTCGAGAATCTGTGGCAAGATCTGAAAACTGCTGTTCACAAACGCTGTCCATCTTATCTGACTGAGCTGGAGCTGTTTTGCAAAGAAGAATGGGCAAGGATTTCAGTCTCTAGATGTGCAGAGCTGGTTGAGACATACCCTAAAAGACTGGCAGCTGTAATTGCAGCAAAAGGTGGTTCTACAAAGTATTGATTCAGGGGGCTGAATAATTACGCACACCCAACTTTTCAGTTATTTATTTGTAAAAAATGTTTGGAATCATGTATGATTTTTGTTCCACTTTGTGTTGGTCTTTCACGTGGAATTCCAATAAAATTGATTCATGTTTGTGGCTGTAATGTGACAAAATGTGGGAAAGTTCAAGGAGGCCGAATACTTTTGCAAGCCACTGTAGGTACAGCTCCCCAGTGGGGAGCTTGGGACCAGCTTGGGGCACCAGCGAAGGGAAAATTAAGTGTAAACTATAATTTCTCCCTATCAGTTTTAACCAATAAGATAGATGCACATTCTCATATAAAACTTTGTATACCACTAGGCTAGGATACTGTTTTGGGAAGACTGACTGCAGCTAACTGTTTTAGAGCCTGCAGTTTTCTGAACAAAAAACATCCATGTACATGATATTTTTTAATAATTTAATGCCTTGATCCACTATGGATAATTTGGACACTTTGTTTTTCTTATATTTATGAACTTTATTTTTATACATTTGTTAAAACAAAACAAAAAAAGAAAAGTAAACGGATCACACAAGGCTAATTGCAACTGCACGAAGAATAATAAAACCATAAATTAAAAACACTGACAAACAAAAAAACACTGCTTTTGTATGTTTAAATACTTATAGAAAAATGGGAATCCTTGGTCAGTGTAGATGGTTACAGTAAGAGAAAACAGTCTTCCTCTGTGAATTCTTCCTTTTTTTCTTTTTTTTTCTTTTTTTTTTTTTCTAAGTAAATGCATATATCAATCACCTGGATCACCTGCTGAGAAAGAAAAAAGAAAGCAAGCAGAAGAGAACAAGAGTAATAGAATAAACAACATCACAATGATATATGGGAATATGACAGTAAATACTAAATGTTAAACATTATTGTGCAGCACATAAGATCAACAGACACAGTGTGCTTTGAGGTAGGAGCCAAAAAGGGTGTAGTTTGTGGGTGTGATCACCCGTGTGTACACCTGTGAGCATGGACGCGCTTGTTTTTTTAAAAGGTTCCTTCATGTAATGATCTGCTAGAGGGTGTGGGGGGGCCACAGCCCCGTCCTCCAGGGTGAAGCAGGTATGGAGGAGATCAAAACTCCAGACATCCAGAGGCCCCCAGAACACAAGAGACCAAGGAAGACCAACAGAGGGGCAGCCGCGCCACTGTCCCAGAAAGAGCTGAGGAGAGTCCCAGATGAGGGCTCACTCAGCAGCCGCGGAGCAGAAGCCAGGGGGAGTTGCAGTGACGCGCCCGTGAGCTCCGCCGGCAGCCAGCCGTGCCTGAGTGACCGAGCCCCAGGCCGAGAGGCCGGGGGCACCCCACCTCCGAAGTGGCCCGAGCGAGCCCCAGGCTCCAGGCCCCGATAAGCGGCCGCCAAGGAGTGAGCCGGTGTGTACCTGGACGCCCATCCCCGGACACAAAGAACCACCAATGCACCGATGTCTGAGGGGGTCCGCCACTGGCAGGGGAAGTGGTGGTAGGGGGAGATAGGCCTCCAAACCTTGGAGGGCCTGAGATGTCCCCAGAGAGGTGGCGCCTGACACCCAACCTGACATATAGACACAGACATACAGGCACACACAGATACAAACATCCATTCCCACCCTCATGCTCTCATATGCACTTACTCCACACTCAACCAACGTGGAGACAGACATAAAGAGACACTGTACACACAATCACACTCCCCAAGCGTACTCTACAAACTGGGTCTAGGTGCCCCCGCCCCTGGAGGGGGGAACTGAGGTCACCTCTGTAAATTCTTCCAAGAACGTTCTCTCTGCTCAGCAGACCTGGAGGTGCTGGCTCTTGTGTTAACTATATTCAACCAATAATGGCTTCTTTCTCTCATTTGACCTAATGTTCTGAAATGCTTCTGAGGGGACTGCAAACGTATTTTAAAGACCTTATAGTGCCGTATGAATAAAGCACTTTGCTCTTAGACTTCTGGCTTACCTGTGGTTCGTAGGATATTTAAAAGTAGTATGGGAGGCAGAGCCTTTAGCTTTCAGGCCTCTCTTCTGTGGAACCAGCTCTTAGATCGGATTCGGGAGATAGACACTAATTTTAAGATTAGGTTTAAAACTTTCCTTTTTGACAAAGCACTTCCACACTATGTCTTTGTTTTCGCTCGCCCCCCTCACCTCAAACCAGTCACAGTAGATAGCTGTGTTTTTCCTTCTCATTGTCACCAAAGTGCTTGCTCACAGGTGGTCGTCTGAAGCTTGGGGTTTCTCTTATAATTGCAGGGTCTTTAACTTACAGTGTTAAGTACCTTAAGGCGACTGTTGTTGTGATTTGGTACTACATAAATAAAACTGAATTGAATAAATGTGGTCTTAAAACCAATCAAAATATTAACAAAGCCCATTCAGATTCCTCTGTAATTTGAATATGTAAACCATTTGTCTTTGTAAATCATTTCATACTTTTTTTGTCTAATGTCAGCTACTTATAATAAAATACTATGCAAAAGCGCTGGCTATAGCTTGTTTTGAAAAACTATACCATTTAGTATTAAAACTATAAAGTGAGCATATTAGTAAGCAACGTAGTGGCTAAAAGTCTGTCATGATAATTTTTGCTGACGTGTTTACTGTAATCAGATATTTGTATATGTAATTTATCACAACATCAAAAAAAACATTTAACTCTTTTTTTAAACTTTATTATTTCTTTTTCAGATCAAAATACATTTTACTCTGGTTTTAGCTCTTCGTTTAATTGTTATGAATGACTACTGCCCCCGTGTGTTTAGAGCTCCTGCTCTTGTTTCTGCTTAAAGTTTTTTATTTATTTATTGACGATCTAAAAACAATCGAAAAGTCACGTGGGCCTTTCCAGCAACATTTTTTGCGGCATTTTGTCTTTAAATGACAAAAACGATGTTTGACAATTAATTTAAAGGTCAGGGGTACGTATACTACGCATGCGCGTGTTCAGATCTTGGTGTTTTAGTGTGAGCTAGAGAAGTGATAAAGTTTGAATGGCAGGAATGGGCTTTTAGGAGTGTGCCGTGTCCACGTCTGAAGCTCAGTACAGAGTGTGCAGTGCAGGAAAAGAAAAGTATGACAGCCAACGAGGATCAAGAGGTATGAAAGAACGCAAGAATGCTGTTAGCGTCTAACTGCTAGCTAGTTGACGGTAGCGTGACTGTTAGCATTGATCGGGGTGGTCTTCGGTTCCAGACAGCAGCCAAGTTAACAGACTGTTATTATTTCGGGTACAAAAGCTCAGCGACACTTTCCCAGCTCATCCCGGTTCAGATGTCGCTCACGACACCTTCCATTCAGAAGTCTACAAGGTTAATCTTGTACCTGCAGCGACAAACAGGGATTCAGCCCGTGTGTTAGCCGGCACACAGCAGTTTTCCACCGCTACTGTGTTGTTGCTTCTCCGGCTCCTTGTGATGGTGACTTATTTCGGCTTGGATACAAAGATCGTAAAAGCAATGAATTTAGCACATACGAGTGTATAAGGCCTTGTGACAGACCTCTGTCCTGCAAACCTTTGCTAAGCTAATGACTGCATTTCTCAGGGTTGTCTGGTAGCGTGCTGTCTGATGTGTTCTTGATGTACTTCAGTCCTGATGATATTCCTGTTACTTCACTTGTTTATGTGATCCCAGATGGAGCTCGAAGCTCTTCGCTCCATCTATGAGGGGGATGAATGTTTCAAGGAAATCAGTCCAGTTTCTTTCCAATTTAGGGTGAGTATGTCCACCGTACTGTCCAAGGCTGTGCAAAAAAGATTGTCTTCTGCAGTCCTCTAACATCCAGTTTCAGAACTATGGTCATAGAATTAAAACAAGAAATTTGAGCCATCATGCTCGTAGCTACTTTAAAACGTTAACAAACTTAAAGGCTGAATTCAGTGTCAGTAACCTTCTCGTCTTTTTGAATATTACACAAAAGGTAGGAGAACTCGAGGACAGCAAAGCATTCATTCTGGACATCACATGGCCTGAGACGTACCCTGAAACTGCTCCACAGATCTCACTTGAAGCTTTTTTCAACAACAGGATGTAAGTTCCAAGTATACTGATCCCTTGGTTTGTGTTAAATTCAAGTCTTTGAAGAAATGGTAAATGGACTGTTTCTTATGTAGAACCTATAGTCCTCATTCATGCACTTTTTTTTCTATGGTTAAGTGCTTTCTAATATTTGATTGAAATGATTCACTCCTCCATCAAGCCTCCAAAATTGGCCTTTTTCACTCTTTTGAAAGAGAAAACTATTTTCATGTAGTTCTTTCTAACCAGCTTGGTGTGAGCACTTTGTTCTTCAACGCACCCTGAATTCTGAGGGGGATTTTTGTCATTTCTCTGTGTTTTCAGTTTTATTTTTTTGTCCTGAATTTGTATTTGTTAAACCAAGATTTTGGACTAACAGCTCTTTTAGAATTAGCTGTTGATGGAAAAACTACTTTTGTTTGCTGTCAAACTGCTATCTTTGGCATTTTTCAGAGATTGAGCTAAAGAAATTAGCTGAATCTCTGAAACTATTTACAATAATGATATGTCATTTGAAACTGAACATACAGATCTAATGTTTTTTGCAACAGGCTGCTGGTAACAACGTGTCTGAAGATACAATTTAAAGTTGGTTTCTTTGCTATTTGTCATGTGTGGTCACAACACTAGTTTCATTGCTTGACTTTAACTGCTTGAATGGTTCATAGGTCAGGGTTAAAAGGCTTAAAAAAGCCCTTTCCTCTGGAAAAAGGTCTGAGGACCTGACCTGAAAGTAATTTAAAAAGAAGCCGATGGCCAAAGAGAAACTTTGAAAGACTCACAAAACACAGAACTTTTGCTTAAAAGAATATCAAAAATGGCTGTTTATAACAACAAACAAAGACTTTTGCACAGTACTGTATTTACAGTATTGGAGAGTGCAGGGTGAGACTGTGGCTGATGGATAGTACTTGAGGATTTTCTTTTCTTTCCATCATCTTGCTTTGAAAACAGCTCAGCAGAGACGAAGCAGCTGATCCTGGCAAAGTTGGAGGAGCAGGTGGAGGCTAACCTGGGTGCTGCAATGATGTACACTCTGTTTGAGTGGGCAAAGGAGAACCAGGAGACGCTCATGGAGAACCACAAGTCTATAGTAACGGCTGTGGTCAGTACATTATTATTTCCCGATATTACCATAATAAAGAACAGTGTTTCTTCCTCTGTGAAAAGTTTTGGTGTCATCCTCGACAGTACTCTTTCAATTCACACATTAATAATGTCTCTCTGATCTGGTTAAGATCACCGCCCCATCTCGTTGTCTCAGATCTACTTCTTCCCTTTCACTCTCCGTCCCCTCCCCCCGTCTTGCCACCATGGGGAGCAGGGCTTTCAGCTGCTCTGCTCCACAACTCTGGAATTCCCGACCTCCTGATTTAAGAAACATCTCTTCCTTCTCTCTCTTTAAGTCCCAACTCAAAACTCACTTGTTCAAAATAGCTTATCCCACATAACCTCCCACTCTGCTCTTTTATTAGTTTATGTCTTATGCTTTTACGATTGTGTGAACTGCTTGCTTTTATGTTGCTTTTTATTCTAATGTGTACAGTGACCTTGAGTGTTTTGAAAGGCGCTTTCAAATAAAATGTATTATTATTATCTATTAATTATCTAGTTGAATGATATGTATTACTGGTAGGTGGAATATGGCATTCTTGTTAGCACTGCATGCTAGTTTGCTCAGATCTCCAAAAGTTGATTCTGTTCATCTGGACGTAGCGTTTTGTGGGAGAAACGTTTCGATCACTCATCCAAGTGACTTCTTCAGTCTCAGCTGACTGCAGGTTTCCCCAATCTTATAAACAGTACATTTGCATAATGACTGAAACCAGCCCACTGAAGGAACAATGGGCTGGGAGGTCAGTTCCTTAATCTATAATTATGCAAATTCTCATGACCATTGATCAAAACCACTGATCAAAACCATGAGTACCATTACAGAGGTGGGGAATAGCTGCAATCACAGCATTGTAAGATGGTGACAGATGTACCCTTAGGCCCCCTCCTCGATTCAGAGATGGTCTTTCCCTTTTCACGTAAAGCTCGACGCGCTACGGTCCTCTTAACATCGCTGGCCCTATTTCAGGAAGCCGGTTTAGAAAACTCAGAGTGAAAAACGATACTCAGGGTTGAGTAACCCCGAACTGTCCAACTCGGAATATTCGGTTTCAGAAAGGCTGATAACAAGTAGTTCAGTCAACGCGGAGTTGCTTTAACCCCAAGTTAAGCGCGCGCACGAGGATACATAAAGCCCTGATTAGTGGAGCACAGATTAAGCGAGTCACCATGGAGACGGAGGGAAAGAAGGCGCGGTCAATGTATTTTACAGCGCTTGAGGCCGAAATTCTGATGGCAGCATATGCCGATAACATGCAAATTTTGCGGAAAAAAAGTAACACAGCCTCAGCTGCAAAAGAAAGGGAGCATGCATGGCAAAACATAGCCGACAGAGTCAATGCGTGAGTGTTAATTTAAACATTGATCTAGGGATTTCCACCCATTTAACACGTTATTTTATTTATTTTTTTTATTTTTTTTTTTGTGTGATCCCGTTGGCCTTGCATCAGATTGTGCTAACAGCAACAAAGTGCCCAACGGTTCCTGACAGAAGAATAAATTACCAAATTGACCATCCGCAAGCCATTTGCCGTAATGGTTCATCTCTGATTCACCTTTTATTGTTTATTTATATTTTCACCTACTGAATTACCGAGGACAGACCTTGAGCTGGGGAAAGCAAGGAAGATATAGAGGCGAGAAGATGCACAGCTGAGAAACACGTGGGAGAAGGTGCACGAAACTCAAGCAGAATCGTAAGCAGAAAAACACACTCATGAAAGAAAGGGAGATGCATGCATACAATCACCGACGATCATGCTGAGAGTTAATAGAAAACATTGATGCTAGAAGAGATTCCACCATATTAACACGTTATTTTATTATATTTTATTTTATTTGTTATTTTATACATTTTATTTTGTGAGTGATTTGAGCGCAGGTGCAACCCAACAGGCCCCAAACGTGTCCTGGCAGCAAGTAAAAATGAAATATAAAAATATAGTCCAAACAGGTAAGGTGTAATTGTATTATGAGCCATAGTGCTTGGTCTGTTTGTCCGATGTACAATCAATTGCAGTTAGAGGCTACATTAATTTTCTTTCTGTAAGCACTTATTGAAATTATCTGAGCACATTACAAGTACATATTTGCTTACTCTGTATGCTCAAATGTGACCCGTTATAGCCAACAGAAAAAAAGCGGAGGCCCGAAAAACAGGTGGGGGTCCTCCACCACCACCACTCACAGAGGCTGAGCAGTTGGCTTCCACATTTGTGATAATGTTGGCAGCATCACATATGATCTTCACAGTGCAGAGAACACAAATTAGCATCCATTACTATAATGAAATAATTTGTTAGTTTGAAATGCTACAGGGAACTATGTACCTGTACATTAATGCTGTGGAAAGACTTCCTGTTCACATAGTCTCCTTCATTTACTGAAGGAGCAATGATTGGAATGTGAGTGCCATCTGTACAGCCAATCACGCCTGGGAACCCTGAAAATAAATGTAAAATTTAAGTAGTAGTTCAAGTATCACCACATCATGAATTAAGTTTGTTCATCCTGATACCTGCAATTTTGTGGCATCCCTCTTTGATAAATCTTGTGGGTCTATGACCGGGGAACACCACAAACGAGTACAGGAGACGTTTCAGTGCAACTGTAACATTCCTGACTGCCCGACAGACGGTAGCCTTGGAAACGTGCTCAGCGTCACCAATATTGTACAGAAAGCTCCCGTTTGCAAAAAACCGAAGTGCAATACAAATAATATGTAATGAACTGAGAGCATGTCCGCGATGTGCCACATGCGTAATATTAGGCCTGAGGATGTTATTCAAGTAAATTATAGATTGTGATGAAAAACGTAACGTTCGCACAGAAAATCATCAGGAAATGATAAAATGTCCAAACGCGCTCTAATCACTCTCTCCCGGCGGAGAGCTCTGCGGAGAATTTGGGCTTCAACATCTACTGGCTCTTCAAGGAAGGGGCAGGCCATGTCTGACACTTCCTACAGTCAGGTTTCCGACAAAGAGGCGGAGAACGTCGGGGTTAGTTGAAGTAAACCTGCTAGGGGGCAGGTTAGCTTCACGGAGTGTGTCGTCATAGTAACTCACTCAGAATTAATCTAAACTCGCTTTGTGAAACCGAAAACCCAGAGTTTTCGTTAACTCAGGGTATACTTACTCAGAGTTTGCACTAAACCGGCTTCCTGAAACAGGGCCCAGGATGTTACATCCTCATCCTTGAAAGAGTGTCACTGGCCTGTAGGTGTAAATAGACTGCAGAGTCCTGGCCTGACGAGGTGGCTCTTCTGTGTTGTAGCCAGAGGTTGTTTGGTTTCCCCGATGTATAAATCCTGGCAATCCTCCTGCACTTAACAGCGTACACTATGTTACTCTGTTTGTGTCGGGGGACCCGATCCTTGGGGTGGACCAGTTTTTGGCGCAGCGTGTTTTGGGGATTAAAAGCCACAGAGACCCGGTGTTTAGAAAAAATGCATCTCAACTGCTCCGATACTCCTGACACGTACAAATCACTACAGGTCACTTAGTCAGCGGTTGTCCTTCTCTCCTGGATCAGCTGGAGCTTTCTTTAGGTGCCTTTCCAGCTTTGACAAAAGTCCAGCTGGGATAACCACATTTACTCAGGGCCTTCTTGCTGTTCTTCTGCCTCCCTGGCCGCTGTTTCAGTGGGGATGGTGTTCGCTCTGTGTTGTAGCGTCCTCACGACACCCAGTTTATGCTTCAGTGGATGATGAGAGTGAAACCTTAGATACTGATCCGTATATGTAGGTTTACGGTACACATCAGCTTTTAGATGTCCTCCATTACTGATGGAAATCTCACAGTCTAAGATGGCTAACCTGTCACTTTTCATATCCTCCCTGCTGAATTTGATGTGTCGGTCCACTGAGTTAATGTGATATGTGAATTGTGGTACATCCTGAGATTTGATTTTCATCCAGGTGTCATCCACATATCTGAACCAATGGCTTGGTGGTGTTCCAGGGTAGGATGGCAAAGCCCTCTTTTCCACTTCTTCCATGTACAAATTGGCCACGATGGGTGAAACTGGGGAGCCCATGTTTCTGCCTGTAGAACTGACCCTTGTATGTGAAATGGAATGAAGACACAGTTCAAACACACTTGGTCGATGCTGCTCTCGATGCTGGTCCTGTTGCTGAGGTTGGGGTCATCCTGTAATCTCTTACGGACTACCTCCAACATTTCCATGACTGGGATGCAAGTGAACAGAAATGTAACATTGTACGAGATCATGGTTTCATCTGCCTCCATAATGACATCTCTCACCTTCTCAACAAAATGCAGGGTGTTCTGGATGTGGTGTTCAGAGCTGCCCACCAGCTTGAGGATCGAAGCCAGAAACTTGGAGATGTTATAGGTGACAGAGTTGATCATGCAGACAATCGGTCTTAAAGGTGCATCCTGTTTATGTATCTTTGGTAAACCATACAGACTTTGTGTAGACTCCCCTGGGTACAGCCTGTGGTATGAGGTCCACTCAATAGCAATCTCTTCTTCTAACTGCTTCAGACAGTCTATCACAGTCTATAAGGGGGCCTAAGGGTACATCTGTCACCATCTTACAATGCTGTGATTGCAGCCATTCCCCAACTCTCTGTGAATGGTACTCATGGTTATTGATCAGTGGGTTTTGGTCAGTGGTTGTTGATCAGTGGTCATGAGTATCTGCATAATTAGGATTAAGGAACTGACCTCCCAGCCCTTTGTTCCTTCAGTGGGCTGGTTTCAGTCATTATGCAAATGTCCTGTTTATAAGATTGAAAGCTGCAGTCAGCTGAGACTGAAGAAGTCACTTGGATGAGTGATGAAACGTTTCTCCCACAAAACGCTACGAACAGATGAACAGAATCAACTTTTGGAGATTTACTTACCTGGATGATTGCGCGTGCATCAGGAAGATGCACGCTTTTGCTCAGAATTTAGTGTTTGACTGATTGGCTTGAGTCATCAAAGTTTGAGGGGAATAAACCCAAAATGATGATGATGTTGTTGTTGTGCAGACGCTGACATCAAACAGTGAGGTGAGTGAACCTGCCACAGCAGCAAAGAAGAAGGAAAAGAAAGAGCAGCTGACTAAAGCCCAGAAAAGAAGGATGATAAACAAAACAGGTACATGAAACTGTGTCCAGTAGCTCGTATTGTTGGATATGTTATAAAAATTCTGCCATATTCTTCTAAAAGCTCTTTAAAACAGTGCTGGTTTTAATTTGGGGATAATGGTAAACTTTTGTGCTCTGACTCTGAATTGGTCAGAGTTGGTCCTAGCACAGACGCCTGTGGAACTCCGTAATTAACCTTCTGGAATTCCTTTGAGTGATCTGGAGTGGACTCTAAAAGATTGATCATTTGGAGGATGCAATTACTGGTTAACTCAGAAAGATCAACTGGAGAAAAGGTCTAAATAAATATCAATGGTATTTAATGTACATACATACTTTTACATCTCTGAGAAGTTTATGTATTATTTTTTCTATAATGGTTAAAAATTTGTTTGAAAACATTTATGAGATCATTACTAATTGTGGTTAAAGGAATTCATTGCTGAGTGGATCTCTGACTCTTTGTCAGCCTGGCTACAGTGCTGAAGAGAAACGTAGGGTTGTTCTTATTTTCTTCAGTCAATCATGAACAGTAAGATGTCCTGGCTTTACAGCAGGTGTTTTTTATTTATTTATTTTTTTTATAGAGCAACTTTTTTTTTTTTCAGGTGAAGATTATCTAAATTATTGAGATTCCATCTGCATTGCCATATTCCTCTAGTAACTGATTGAAATTGAGGCTGATTATTATGACACAAAAACTATTCCTATTGATGACAGATTTTGTACTTTTTCCAAGGCTAAAAGAGTCAAGTCAATTATGGCTCTGAGATTAACACAAAGTAAAAGCACCACCAGCAAGGCTGTTGGAAACATTTTGATGGAAAATCGTTAGACTGCATATAAAGATGAACGTAGCTGTCATGATGTCCCTCGTTGGTTAGTGTTTCATAATGCATCTACAAGTGTAATAATTGTATTTATATACAGTTGTGATCAGATGTTTACACACACTTAACTTGGGTATTTATGCTGTGGTAATTTTGGGTGTGATTTGTTTAAACAGTTCTTTTTTCTGGGTGGAATGACTATACTGTATTAAGTAGTGGAAGTAATGGTTAAATCCCCTGCTGAATTTGTGAGTTTGCTCAGTTACAAATAAATGAAAAGCCTCTCATTTTTATGATAGTTTGAAATTCAAGTAACAGCATATCACCCAAAAATCCAGATAAACATGCCTCATTAATGTTATACATTGATTTGTGTGCCATTGAGTGAAATGAGTATTTGATCCCCAAGCAAAACATGATCCCCCGAGTGAGTACTTGGTGAGAAACACAGCGGTAAGGTGTTTCTTGTAGTTGGTCACCAGGTTTGCCACATCTGATGTTCTGTCTGTGTTCTATTTAAACTGCCATTTAAAAACTGGAGGCTGTTCATTTCATCAGTTATCAAACATACATATTCAGCAGGGTATCAAATAATTATTTCTTTCAATATATATCGTTAATAACTAAAAAATAAAACGCAGAAGTTTTAATTTATTTTGGATTTCCTCTAAAGTATGAATACAGGCTCAAATATACACTTGCACTCACTTAAACGTTTTAATAGGTGAATGCCTTCAACTTCTTGTCAACGATCATTAATGACTATGTTTGGCAGCACTCACTGGACTCACCAGTAGTCAGAACAATGGGGAAAGTTCAAGGAACTCATTCAAAAGCTAAGAAGGAAAACTGTAGTTGTAGAAGGTCTATTGGAGCCATTTCTAAACAAGTGCAGATTTCAGGATCATCAGTTTAAACCATTGTTCATTAATACATGTTATACGCTTTTGCCAAAAAATGGAAGACAACCCAAACCGTCCCCTTTAGCTGAGAGGAAATGAGTTGGAACAACTCAGGAAGTACTAAGGCTCAAGCCTGCCTGAAAGCTGCTGAAACACCAGCATCACTGTGCACAGTCCATTCACCATGGACTGAGAGGGTGCTGACCACAAAAACGTGGTCCAACCTTCCTTTATCTCAAAAGTTCCTGAAAGAGTAGTTGTCATACAGCTAACAGATGCAGAGGAATGGCTTATTTGAAGAGTTTCAGTCAGGTTTCAGAGCTCATCACAGCACAGAAACAGCTTTAGTGAAGGTTACAAATGAACTTATGGCCTCTGACAGTAAAGCCCTGAAAGCCTCACTGCAGCATTCAATACTGTTGACCATAATATTTTAGAAGTATTCAACTGCAGTGGTTTGAATCATATCTAATAGACTCCAATTTGTACATGTAAATGGAGAGTCCTCTTCACATACTGAGGTCAATTATGGAGTTCCACAGGGTTCAGTGCTAGGACCAATTCTGTTTACATTATACATGCTTCCCTTAGGCAGCATCATTAGAAGACATAGCATAAGTTTTCACTGCTGTGCAGATGACACCCAGCTCTATCTGTCCATGAAACCAGATAACACACACCAATTAGTTAAACTGCAGGAATGACTTAAAGACATAAAGACCTGGATGGTCGCTAACTTTCTGCTTCTTAATTCAGATAAACTGATGTTATTGTTCTCGGCCCTAACAATTTTAGAAGTATACTATCAAACCAGATGCTTACTCTGGATAGAATTACAATATTGGCTTCTCTTCACTGGCTTCCTGTTAAATCCAGAATCGAATTAAAAACATCCTTCTCATCACATACAAGCTCTTGAATAATGAGCCTACAGAGCACTTAACTCTCAGACTGCTAGGACTAGTGGTTCCTAGAGTATTTAAAAGTAGTATGGGAGGTAGCGCTTTTAGCTTCAGGACCCTGTTCTGTCCAACCAGCTTGCACGTTGGATTCGGGACACAGACACCCTCTCGACTTTTAAGACTAAGCATAAAACCTTCCATTTTTGACAAAATAATTACAATTGGATTAGATGGCCCTGAATTTTCCTCTAGTTATGCTGCAATAGGTCTAGGCTATTCATTAATATAACTGTCATTAGACAGCAGTAAGAGGTTTATAGGTTAGCTTCATAATATTCGAATTCCTGCTTTCAGATCACAAAGGTGAGCTGCCCAGAGGCTGGAACTGGGTTGATGTAATTAAGGTAGGTGTCTTTTAGTGTTTTACCACCAGATGGTGCACTTTGTTCCTTTAAGCACTGTTGTTACAACTTTTTTTTTAATCTTTGTCCTCTTTCCTTGGTCCCTGCTGCTTGACCACCCTCCAGCATGTAAGTGGCAATGGTTAAATGAACATTGTTTGCACATTGTCAACATACAGAGTGACTTACTGTTTCATTTTGCATCCCTGCTGCAGCTCAGTAAAACTGGAGGGAAAGATGAAGACTAGGTTGCACAGACAAGCTACGTGAGGCCGATGGTGTCTGTAATACTTCAGCTACATGCTCCACTCAACATGACTGCTTCCACAATGAGGACAGTGTGTAAAACTGGATCTGCTCACAATCCCAGTTAGACTCTTGACTGTAAGCTGAAAATGACCTGAAGGCTTTGCTGTGCTTGTGGTGGTTTACTACTTTTTTTTTTTTCCTTCCTCACTGCTAGTACAGCTACGGCCAAAGCTTTTAGCAGTCACGTCACTGCAAAATCAAATTTTTTTTTATTTTAAAACATTTTTGAAATTCATGAAATATCATAGAAACATGTTTAAAGACAGCAAAGTGTATGAAATTAACCTTTGGCCATAACTGTACATGAGACAGAGAGCACATTAGGCTTTTGTTGAAGAGTGAGTCTCCTGCTCTGTGGTCCGTCAGGGTGAAGTGTGCTGGAGTTTAACTGATCTACTGCCCAGCACTGAGCTGTTGGGGTTCTCAGCTGAAGCGTTATGCTGCTGTTACTGTGAGGTACCATGTGATGTGTTAAAAGCAGAGCTGCGTGTTACATTTCTCAATATTTTCCTATTTTGATAAATGTTCCTCTGCCCTTTGAATTGTAAAGCCAGAAGTTTTTATATAGAAATAAAATCGATTTTATCTACTGCTGGTCTCAGAACATCATTATTCATTGGCTTGTCTTGTGATAACACTGTTTTGTGCTGCAGTCAGTGTCCATTTCTTGGAGCTGCAAATGGTCATATAATTGACCTTCGTCTGAGGTCAATTATATCAGGGCTCTCCCATTGAATAAAAACTGACAAATATATATAAGACAATGCTGAGTAGAATATGTGCCTTGAAGAATGTGATGTGGTTTCTCATCTTTCTCAAACAAAAGCAGGTAATTCAGCCTTTTTGAAGGAAGGTGCTATGATGCATATCTATTAAAGATATCAAAGGAGCTTGGAAAGAAGAGAGACAGGACTTGAAGTTTTTTCAGTTCTAATACCAAATGTGGAAGAGTCCCAAATTTTAAGCCAGTGGTCCCTGAGAGCAGCACAAAACAAATTAAATCAAAACTAACTCTGGTCCGATTTTTGAATTGTTCACAAACGACAAGAGTATGTTAAATGAATTACAATACGTTGTTTTAATGATTATAAAAGGAATGTACACATTAGTGAATTGGTGAAAACAAATGACATCCAGTGTCCCGTCAACAGCCATCTCCTACATTAAATATCAGTCTCTTATAAACACATGTAGGTTATACTCTAGAAGCCATTCCTGTAGACACTGATTTCAGTCACTGAGTACAATAAAGAAAATTGCCATGTACACGTGGACCTTGTCCAGAGTTAAAGAGTTAAAAATTCAGTTGCTTATTGTTGTACATGAAAAAAGAAAACTGGTTCAAGCTGATGATTGTTGAAGTAGCTGGTGACCCTACAGACTTGGAGCACAAGTGTCAGCCCAAGTTAAATCCCAATTTGTCCTTGATTAATATTAAATTTGGTTGCCAATGGTGTTCGATTGTCCTCTTATAGCATCACAAGTGCTTGTAAATATGACTGACAGGATTGATGCCAGGCTGCTTTCCAGATACAGGTCACTACCTGGACCTGCGGTCTTTTCTGTTCTTATCTAGGCTTTTATCCATGGTCTTTTCGTTGTCCCCTCTGCATTTAGGGCAGTACCACTTTCCTTTGGGCTTGTAGGTAAGCCCCACACAAGAGAAGTGGAACCACTCAATGGGGCACTGATCATTGTCACAGCCGATCATTTCACCGTAGGACACTTGTTCACAGAGACAGTAGGTGGGCTCATTAGGATCAATGGCAAAGTCGACCGGTGAGGCATCTCGCTCTTGTTTAGCCTTACGTTTCTTTTTCTTTGCAGACTTGGACTTCTTCTCTCGGGGTGGAGGGAGGGACAGCTCTTCCACAGGGTCATCCAGAGAGCCATTGGCAGACTGGTGGCTGGAGTCACGGCTCTCGCTGTTGCGTTGACGTCGTGGGCGGCGGGTTGAGGTGCGTTCGGGGGCTGGGGACTCTTGGATGCTGGAACGCCTCTCTGTAGTGAGCCGCTCTGCCTCACTGGGCTCCTGGAGGCACAGGGAGTGAGAGTCCATTTGGCGGGAACGGTTCTCTACCAGTTCTGTCATCTGGGTCACTACATGGATCTTCTCATCACCAAGCTCCTGGCTAATGATGAGCGCTCTCTGTAGCTGGATCTGCAGACGTTTTCTCTGAGCTCCATCTTGCTCACCTTTGTATTTCTCAAACACATCATCCACTTCATTCAGCACATCTGTAAAGTACAGGACATAATAATTAATGGATGTTTTAAATGTAAAAAATATTATTAAAAGAACTTTTAATTCAGTTTTATTTACACAACAACAATCACCTCAAACAATAAGAGAGGAATCCCCCTATGAGCAAGCACTTGGCAACAGTGGGAAGGAAAAGCTCCCTTTAAAAACAACACAATCTTCAGCAGAATAAGACTCAGGAAGGATAGGTTTTTTTTTCCCGTGTTTCAATTCCTTAATTGCAGCTGTATTTTGAATATAGACAGGAAATAGGGTCGGGCGATATGGCCTAAAATCCATATCACGTTCTAATTTGAAGCATGTGTGGTAACGATATACAGGGAGTGCAGAATTATTAGGCAAATGAGTATTTTGTCCACATCATCCTCTTCATGCATGTTGTCTTACTCCAAGCTGTATAGGCTC